TTCTTGCTCTCCATCACCCACAGGAACAAGTTTAATGTGCTTAATATAGAGCTTCAGTGTGAATATATTATTTGTAGAATGTTACATTGTTTTGCAAAAATTCTATCGTCTCCTTTTCTTGTTCACTCTTTTCCTACTCAACATCATGTATTTGGGACATGGTCATAATGAACTATAACACACACACACACACACACACACACACGCACATCAACTTTAGTGCTTTTGATCACTATATAGTGTATTGTGATATATTTTCACCATGTGAGGTTCTTCTGAACACTCCCTGAAGCTGCTTCACTGAACATCTATATCCACATCTCATGGGCTGGTGAGAGAGAATCTCTGTGACATACTAAGAAGAGGGAATACACGGACATAGGGAATATGTTGCTATACCATTCTTCAGAAAGGCTGCACTTGCTGACATGTTTATTATTAATTTGTGAAAGTTTCTATTGTCTCACATTTTAAAAAACAGTATTATTTCTGTTTGAGTTTATTATTATTTATTTTAATTTTCCATAAGTTATTGGGTTACAGGATGTATTTGGTTACATGAGTAAGTTCTTTAGTGGTGATTTGTGAGATTTTGGCACATCCATCACCTGAGCAGAATACACTGCACCATATTTGTAGTCTTTTACCCTCGTCCCCCTCCCATTCTCCCCCCCAAGTCCCCAAAGTCCATTGTATCATCGTATCATTCTTATGCCTTTGGATCCTCATAGCTTAGCTCCTACGTATCAGTGAGAATACACAACGCTTGGTTTTCCATTCCTGAGTTACATTACTTAGAATAATAGTCTCCAATCTCATCCAGGTCACTGTAAATGCTGTTAATTCATTCCTTTTTATGGCTCCGTAGTATTCCATCATATATATATGTGTATATACATACATACATACATATATATATATATATACACACACACATTATATATATATAATCTCACAGTTTCTTTATCCACTCATTGAATGATGGGCATTTAGGTTGGTTCCTCAATCTTGCAACTGTGAATTGTGCTGCTATATACATGTGTATGCAAGTATTTTTTTTCAAATAATGACTTATTTTCCTCTGGGGAGATATTCAGTTGTGAGATTGCTGAATCAAATGTCAGTTCTACTTTTAGTTCTTTAAAAAATCTCCACACTGTTTTCCAGAGTGGCTATACCAGTTTATATTCCCACCAGCAGTGTAGAAGAGTTCCCTGTTCATCACATCCATGTCAAAGTCTACTATTTTTTGATTTTTTAATTATGGGCATTCTTGCAGGAGTAAGGTGGTATCGCATTGTGGTTTTGATTTGCATTTCCCTGATCATTAGTGATGCTGAGAATGTTTTCATATGTTTGCTGGCCATTTGTATATCTTCTTTTGAGAATTATCTATTCATGTTATTTATCCACTTTTTTTTTTTTACTATTTTTTATTGCATTTCAGGTTTTGGGGTACATGTGAATAACATGTAAGATTGCTGCATAGGTACACACATGGCAGTGTGGTTTGCTGCTTTCCTCCCCATCACCTATATTTGGCATTTCTCCCCATGATATTCCTCCCCAACTCCCTGCCCCCTGATGTTCCTCCCCTATTTCCTCCCCACAGACCCCGGAGTGTAGTGCTCCCCTCCCTGTGTCCATGTGTTCTTATTGTTCGACAATCACCTATGCGTGAGAACATGAAGTGTTTGATTTTCTGTTCTTGTTTCAGTTTACTGAGAATGATGGTTTCCAGGTTCATCCATGTCCCTACAAAGGACATGAACTCATTGTTTTTTATGGCTGCATAGTATTCCATGGTGTATATGTGCCACATTTTCCCTGTCCAGTCTATCAGTGATGGGCATTTGGATTGGTTCCAAGTCTTTGCTATTGTAAACAGTGCCGCAATGAACATTTGTGTGCATGTGTCTTTATAATAGAATGATTTACAATCCTTTGGATATATACCCAGTAATCGGATTGCTGGGTCAAATGGAATTTCTATTTCTAGGTCCTTGAGGAATCGCCACACTGTCTTCCACAATGGTTGAACTAATTTACACTCCCACCAAAAGTGTGAAAGTGTTCCTATTTCTCCACATCCTCTCCAGCATCTGTTGTCTCCAGATTTTTTAATGATTACCATTCTCACTGGCATGAGGTGGTATCCCAATGTAGTTTTGAGTTGCATTTCTCTAATGACCAGTGATGATGAGCATTTTTTCATATGTTTGTTGGTTGCATATAAGTCTTCTTTTGTAAAGTGTCTGTTCACTTAGCCCACTTTTGAATGGGTTTGTTTGTTTTTTTCTTGTAAATCTGTTTTAGTTCTTTGTAGATTCTGAATATTAGCCCTTTGTCAGATGGGTAGATTGCAAAAATTTTTTCCCATTCTGTTGGTTGCCAATTCACTCTAATGACTGTTTCTTTTGCTGTGCAGAAGCTGTGGAGTTTGATTAGGTCCTATTTGTCCATTTCGGCTTTTGTTGCCAATGCTTTTGGTGTTTTAGTCATGAAGTCTTTTTAATGGGATTGTTCGTTTGCTTGCTTGTTTTTTTCTCACTGATTTGTTTGGGTTCCTTGTAGATTCTGGATATTAGTCCTTTGTCTGATGTATAGATTGTGAAGGTTTTTCTCCCACTCTGTGGGTTGTCTGTTTACTCTGCTGACTGTTCCTTTTGCTATGCAAAAGTTCTTTAGTTTGACTAGGTCCCAGCTATTCATCTTTGTTTTTATTGTGTTTGCTTTTGGTTTATGAAATCCCTACCTGAGCCAATGTCTAGAAGGGTTTTTCTACTGTTAACTTCTAGAAATTTTAAGTTTCATGTCTGAGGTTTAAGTCCTTAGACATGAAACTTCTTGTTTCATGTCTAAGGACATGAATGAACCTGGAAACCATCATTCTCAGTAAACTGAAACAAGAACAGAAGTTTAATCCACCTTGAGTAAGCCTTTTCTTTCCCAGCTGGGAGGCAAATGGCCTTGCCCAAGCCCATCTCACTCTCTGCCTGGAAACAGACTCAGGGCTGTTGTGGGGTACACAGTATGAATGAGACCAGCACTTTGGTTTGGATGGGAGCTGGGTGAAGACTGTGACTGTCAGCTTTCCATCACTTTCCTGACAACCTGTATGACTCAGCAGAGGCAGACATAAGCCTCCTAGGTAGACAACTCCAGTGACCTGGGAATCTCATCCCCAACCCCTACAGCAGCTGCAGCAAGACCCACTCAAGGAGAGTCTGAGCCCCACTCCCACCTGATGGTCCTTCCCTATCCATCCTAGTAGTGGAAGACAAAGGGAATAGAATCTTGGGAGTTCTAGGGCTCCACCCACCACCAGTACCTCTCCACTCTACTATAGCTGATACTTTTTGGAAAACATTGCCTTCTGCCAGGAAACCAACCAGCACAAAATAGATCATTAAACCACTAAAGCTAAGGGCCTCATGGAGTCTATTGCACCCTCTGCCACAGCACTGGTATCCATGGCTGAGAGACCCATAGACAGTTCACATCACAGGACTCTGCAGACAACCCCCAGGTCTGGCCCAGAGCCAGGCAGTCTTGCTGGGTGGCTAGACCCACAAGAGAGATAACAATCACTGCAGTTCAGCTCACAGGAATCCACATTCATAAGAAAAGGGGGAGAGTTCTACATCAAGGGAACACCCCATGGGACAAAAGAATCTGAACAACACACTTCAGGACTAGACCTTCTCTCTGACAGAGACTACTAAAATAAGAAGGAACCAGAAAACCAACTCTGGTAATTAATATAACAAAACAAGCCTTGTCAACACCCCCCAAAAATTATGCTCGTTCACCAGCAATGGATTTAAGCCAAGAAGAAATCCCTGATTTACCTGAAAAGGAATTCAGGAGGTTAGGTTATTAAGCTATTCAGGGAGGGACCAGAGAAAGGCAAAGCCCATTGCAAGGATATCCAAAAAGTGATAGAAGAAGTGAAGGAAGAAATGTTCATGGAAACAGACATAGCTTAAAGTGAAGGCAATCAAAAATTCAGGAAACTTTGGACACACTTTTAGAAATGCAAAATGCTCTTGAAAGTCTCAGAAATAGAACTGAACATGTAGAAGAAAGAAATTCAGAGTTTGAATACAAGGTCTATAAATTAACCCAATCCAAGAGACAAAAAAAAAAAAAAAAAAGAAGAATAAGAAAATAAGATCAAAGCCTCCAAGAAATCTGGGATTGTGTTAAATGACCAAACCTAAGAAGAATTGGTGTACCTGAGGAAGAAGAGATTTCTAAAAGCCTGGAAAACATGTTTCAGGAAATAATCGAGGATAATGCCCCTGTCTTTGCTAGAGACCTAGACACCAAATACAAAAAGTACAAAGAACATCTGGGAAGTTAATTACAAGAAGATCTCTGTCTAGGCACATTGTCATCATATTATCCAAAGTTAAGGTAAAGAAAAGAATCTTAAGAGCTGTGGGACAGAAGCACCAGGTAACCAAAAAAGGAAAACCTATCAGATTAACAGCAGATTTCTCAGCAGAAACCCTAGAAGCTAGAAGGGATTGGGGACCTATCTTCAGCCTCCTCAAACAAAACAATTTTGTATCCAGTGAAACTAAGCATCATGTATGAAGAAAAGATACATTCATTTTCGAACAAGCAAATACTAGGAGAATTTGCTACTACCAAACCACCACTACAAGAACTGCTAAAAGGAGCCCTAAATCTTGAAACAAACCCTGAAAACACATCAAAACAGGACCTCTTTAAAGCATAAATTACACAGGACCTATAAAACAAAAATACAAGTAAAAAACAAAAACAGAAAACAAACAAACAAAAAAAATCAAAGTACACAAGCAACAAAGAGCACAATGAAAGCTACAGTACCTAACATTTAATGCTAACAATGAACATAAATGGCCTAAATGCTACTTAATAGATACAGAACCATTGAATGGATAAGAACTCACCAACCATCTGCTGCCTTTAAGAGACTCACCTAACACATAAAGGACTCACACAAACTTAAGTAAAGGAGTGGGAAAAGGCATTTTGCGCAAATGGACACCAAAAGCAAGCAGGGGTAACAATTCTTATATCAGACAAAACAAACATTAAAGCAACAGCAGTTAAAAGAGACAAAGAGGGTATCAGGATGATGTTCATCAAAAAGCTTATTCACCATGATCAAATAGGTTTCATCCCGGGGATGCAAGGCTGGTTCAACATACACAACCTATAAATGTAATCCACCACATAAACAGAACCAAAGACAAAAACCACAAGATTATCTCAATAGATGCAGAGAAGGCCTTCGACAAAATTCAACAGCCCTTTATGGTAAAAACTCTCAATAAGCTAGGTATCAATGGAACGTATCTCAAAATAATAAAAGCTATTTACGACAAACCACACCCAACATCATACTGGATGGACAGAAACTAGAAGCATTCCCTTTAAAAACTGGCACTAGACAAGGATACCCTCTCTCATCACTCCTATTCAATATAGTAATGGAAGTTCTAGCCAGAGTAATTAGGAAAAAAAAAAATTAAGGGCATTCAATTAGAAAAAGAAGAAGTCAAATTGTCCCTATTTGCAGATGACATGATCATATATTTAGAAGAGCCCATCGTCTCAGCTCAAAACCTCCTTAAGCTGATAAGCAACTTCGGCAAAGTCTCAGGATACAAAATCAATGTGCAGAAATAACAAGCATTCCTATACACCAACAACAGACAAACAGATAGCCAAATCATGAATGATCTCCTGTTTACAATTGCTACAAAAAGCATAAAATACCTAGAAATACAACTAACAAAGGATGTAAAATATCTCTTCAAGGAGAACCACAAAGCACTGATCAAGGAAATAAGAGAGGACAAAAACAGCTGGAAAAATATTTCATGCTTATGGTTAGGAAAAATCAATACTGTGAAAATGGCCATACTGCCCAAAGTAATGTATAGATTCAGTGCTATCCCCATCAAGTTACCATTGACTTTCTTCACAGAGCTGGAAAAAGCCACTTTAAATTTCATATGTAACCAAAAGAGAGCCCTCATAGCCAAGACAATCCTAAGCAAAAAAATACAAAGTTGGATGCATCACACTATCTGACTTCAAACTAGACTACAAGGCTACAGTAATCCAAACAGCATGGTACTGGTACCAAAACAGAGATATAGACCAGTGGAACAGAACAGAGGCCTTGGAAGCAATGCCAGACATCTACAACCATCTTACCTTTGACAAACCTGACAAAAACAAGCAATGGGGAAGGATTTCCTGTTTAATAAATGATATTGGAAAAACTGGATGGCCATATGCAGGAAGCTGAAACTGGACCCCTTCCTTACACCTTATACAAAAATTAACACCAGATGGAGTAAAGATTTGAACATAAGAACTAACATCATAAAAACCCTAGAAGAAAACATAGGCAACACCATTCAGGACATAGGCACAGGCAAGGACTGCATGACTAAAACACCAAAAGCAATGGCAACAAAAGCCAAAATAGACAAATGGGACCTAATTAAACTTAAAAGCTTCTGCACAGCAAAAGAAACAATCATTATAGTGAACTGGCAATCAACAAAAATTTTTTATTTTTATTTTATTCTTTCCCATTTATTTTATTGCATTTTAGGTTTTGGGGTACATGTGAAGAACGTGCAAGATTGTTGCATAGGTACACACGTGGCAGTGTGATTTGCTGCGTTCCTCCCCATCACCTACATCTGGCATCTCCCCCCTTGCTATCTCTTCCCAGCTCCCCACCCCCCACCATCCCTCCCCTATTTCCCCCCAACTGACCCCAGTATGTAGTGCTCCCCTCCCTGTGTCCATGTGTTCTCATTGTTCAACACCCACCTATGAGTGAGAACATGTGGTGTTTGATTTTCTGCTCTTCTGTCAGTTTGCTGAGAATGATGGTTTCCAGGTTCATCCATGTCCCTACAAAGGACACGAACTCATCGTTTTTGATGGCTGCATAATATTCCATGCTGTATATGTGCCACATTTTCCCTGTCCAGTCTATCATCGAGGGGCATTTGGGTTGGTTCCAGGTCTTTGCTATTAACATTGGTAAACAGTGCTGCAATGAACATTCGTGTGCATGTGTCCTTACAGTAGAACAATTTATAATCCTTTGGATATATACCCAGTAATGTGATTGTTGGGTCAAATGGAATTTCTATTTCTAGGTCCTTGAGGAATCGCCACACTGTCTTCCACAATGGTTGAACTAATTTACACTCCCACCAACAGTGTAAAAGTGTTCCTATTTCTCCACATCCTCTCCAGCATCTGTTGTCTCCAGATTTTTTAAAGATCGCCATTCTAACTGGCGTGAGATGGTATCTCAATGTAGTTTTGATTTGCATTTCTCTGATGACCAGTGATGATGAGCATTTTTTCATATGTTTGTTGGCCTCATGTATGTCTTCTTTTGTAAAGTATCTGTTCATATCCTTTGCCCACTTTTGAATGGGCTTTTTAGTTTTTTTCTTGTAAATCTGTTTTAGTTCTTTGTAAATTCTGGATATCAGCCCTTTGTCAGATGGGTGAACTGCAAAAATTTTTTCCCATTCTGTTGGTTGCCGATACACTCTAATGGCTGTTTCTTTTGCTGTGCAGAAGCTGTGGAGTTTGATTAGGTCCCATTTGTCTATTTTGGCTTTTGTTGTCAATGCTTTTGGTGTTTTGGTCATGAAATCCTTGCCTACACCTATGTCCTGAATGGTTTTGCCTAGATTTTCTTCTAGGGTTTTTATGGTGTTAGGTCTTATGTTTAAGTCTTTAATCTAACCATCTGACAAAGGCCTAATATCCAGAATCTGCAAAGAACTAAAGTAGATTTACAAGAAACAAAGAAACCCATTCAAAAGTGGGTGAAGGATATGAACACATTTCAAAAGAACACATATATGTGGCCAAGAAACATATGAAAAAATTCTCATCATCATTGGTCATTACAGAAATGCAAATCAAACCACATTGAGATACTATCTCATGCCAGTTAGAATGGCGATCATTTAAAAATCTGGAGACAACAGATACTGGAGAGGATGTGGAGAAATAGGAACACTTTTACACTGTTGATGGGAGTGTAAATTAGTTCAACAATTATGGAAGATAGTGTGGTGATTCCTCAAGGATTTAGAGAAATTTTACCCAGCAATGCTATTACTGGGTATATACCCAAAAGATTATACATCGTTCTATTATAAAGACACACGCACACGTATGTTCGTTATGGCACTGTTTAAAATAGCAAAGACCTGGAACCAACCCAAATACTCATCAATGATAGGCTGGACAAAGAAAATGTGGCACATATACACCATAGAATACTATGCAGCCATAAAAAACTACTAGTCTGTGTCCTTTATAGAGACATGGATGAATCTGGAAACCATTATTCTCAGCAAACTGACACAAGAACAGAAAACCAAACACCACATGTTTTCACTCATAGGCGGGTGATGAACAATGAGAATACTTGGGCACAGGGAAGGGATCAACACTCACAGGGCTAGGTGGGGGTGTGGAGGAGAGGTGAGACGAGGGATAGTGGGGGTGGGGAGGGAGGATGGGAAGGGATAACATAGGGAAAAATGCCTGATGTAGGCGATGGGGGAAGGGGGATGGAGACAGCAAACCACCATGGTATGTATATACCTATGCAACAATCCTGCAGGATGCAGGATGTGCCCATGTACCCCAGAGCCCAAAGTACAATAAAAAATAAATAAATAAAATTTCAAAAAAAGAAATTGCAACCAGGAAAAAAAAGAGAGAGAGAGACAAAGAGGGACAGTATATAATGGTAAAAGCTTTGTCCCATAGGAAAATACCACAATCCTAAACATATATGCACCTAACACTGGAGTTCCCAAATTTATAAGACAATTACTAGTAGATCTAAGAAATTAGACAGCAACACAATAATAGTGGGAGACTTCAAAACTTGGCATTGTCAAACATTTAAAAATCCGTGTTAGTTTTATGGAGAAAAGTAGAAACCTATGTTTATTTCTCTGACTGTATGTTATTCTTCATTGAATAGAAATTACTAATTTTGACACAGTCAAATTAGTGAATTTTTTGTCTTTTTTTGTGTATGCTTGCATGTTATTGAAGAAATTTCTAACCCAAGATTACAAAGATCTGCATTTTTTTCCCATTTATATTATAGTTTTACTTTCCCATTTAGATTTATTAAAATTGATTTGGAATTTACTCTTCTATGTTGAACATAGGGTTCAACTTCATTTTTTTCATATATGTGTTACTGAGCAATCTATATCTTGCTGCCCAATGCACATGGAAGCCAATACCATGGCACCAGCTTTTGAGAAAATAAAAGGCTTTACTAAAAATTGACTGGCAAAGAGACAGGAGGAAATGCTCAAACCTATCCCCCTGAGCTGGGGATTGGGTCAGGTTTTATATGCTAGGATAGTGAGATGTGATCTGATTGGATCTTGCAATGAGGTAATGCTGGGAGCCATGACCTGACTGGATCCTGCTGAGGGGTCAGACTAGGGCTCAATCTAATTGAATCCTGGATCCTGCCATGCAGTGTCCAGTTCTTAATTCAATCCTCATTCCTCAGTCTGAACACTTAATTTGCACCTGTGTCTGCAGGTTTGGTTTATCTGGGCATGCTCAGGGTAGGTGATCTTCAACCTAAGGGTCCATGGTAACTGAAAAACAACTCACAACTTTGTTACATAAAAGTTGAGCCAGATTTGTCTGGTGCTGCTACATATAGAGAGCCAGTATACCAATTCAATCAAATAAAACATTAATCCATTCACCCATTGTTCTGTATTGTCACCATAATCACATAACACTATTCTAGTCAAATATAAATCTGTTTCTGGGTATTCTTATTTTTCCTTGGTTCTGCGTGTCTGTTCCTATATCAATAACACCATACTTTTTGTTACTATAGCAAGTATGCCTTAAAAAGTGGTAAGATGAGTCCTTCTCTTTGCTCTTTTCTCTCAGAAACTTCTAGTATAAAAAAAGTTTAATGGCCACATTTTTTCTTTCAATATAAAATTTTCTATGCTTGAGCCACACCAAAATGCAAATATATAAAATAATTATATTAACTGTTTTAAATGCCAATGCAGAATAAGACTCTGCTAGAACCACTAACACCCATTAACAAGCAGTCTTAGGATATGTTAGAGAAATAGAAACTGGTGCCAGTATTCTAATGTTCCGTTCAGAAATTAAGTTATGTATCTTGAAGTTCAGCCAGCAATCTACTCCTCAATAGCCTTTATGTTATCCATCACCACTGAAAACTTAACGTGAGATAGAGTTTAACTCACTGCCCAAATTCTTTTTTAAAAATTAGACTATATATTTTTCAGAGAAGTTTTAGTTTCACATCAAAATTGAGCAGAAAGTACAAAGATTTCCCATATAGACTCTGCCCCACACATGCTTAGCCTTCCCTATTATCAACATCTTGACCACATAGTGATACATTTATTATAATTCCATAAACCTACATTGACACCTAATTATCATACAAACTCTATAGTTTGCATTAGAGTTCACCTTTGAACAGTCTATAGATTGGACACATGTATCAATCATAATCACATCCTACAGAATAATTTCATTGCCCTAAAAAATCCCCTCTGCTCTGGTTATTCATCTTTCTCTCTCTTTCTAATTTCTGGCAACTGCCTATCTTTTTACTGTATTCATAATTTTGCCTTTTCTAGAATGTCAGGTAGTTGGAGTCATACAGCATGTAGCCTTTTCAATTGGCTTCTTTCATTTAATAATATGCATTTATATTTCCTCCATGTCTTTTCATGGCTTGATAGCTCATTTCTTTTTAGCTCAATAATTATCCATTGTCTGGGTTTGCCACCATTAACCTACTGAAGGATATCTTGGTTGCTATTAAGTTTTGGTAATTATAAATAAAGTTGCTGTAAATATTCATGCACAGGTTTTTGTGTAGACATAAGCTTTCAGTTCCTTTGGGTAAATATCAAGGAGTGCAGTTGCTGGCACGTGAGTATGTTTAGTTTTGTTAGAAACTGACCAAAGTCAAAAAGTGGCAAAGTCTTTCAAAGTGGTTACAGTATTTTACATTCCCATTGGCAGTGGATGAGAGTTCCTATCACTCCACATTCTCACCAGCATTTTTGGTGTTGCCAGTGTTCTAGATTTTGACCATTCTAATAAGTGTGTAGTGGAATCTCGTTGTTTTAATTTTCATTATCCAGATGACATATGAGTAGAGCATCTTTTCCTATATTTATTTTCCATCTGTGTATCTTTTTGGGTGTGGTGTTTGCTAAACTCCTTGGCCCATTTTTAAAATCAAGTGGATTCATTTTGAATTAATAGGCCATAAAGTCTGAGTATAGATTTATTTTATTTTTACAGGTGGATATCTTATCACATTTGTTGCAAAGACAATTTTTCCTTCTTTGCATTGCCTTTACTCCTTTTTCAAAAATAACTTGACTATATTTATGTCAATTCCTGGGCTCTCTCCTCTGTTTCACTGATCTATTTGTCTCTGCTTTCACCAATACTACACTGTCTTGATTAATGCAGCTTCATAGTAAGTCTTGAAGTTAGGTAGTTTTATTCCTCCAAACAAATTGATACTACTTATTCTTTAAATATCCTCATGGCTATTCTGTCTATTCTTTATATGACTCTTCATGAAAACTTCAGAGTAAGTTTTGAATAGCCACAAAATAACTTGCTAGGGTTTTGATTGGGATTCCTTGACTATAGATCAAGTTAAGAAAAAATGACATATTGACAATATTGAGTTTTCCTACCCATACATATGGTATGTCTTTCCATTTGTTGAATTATTCTTTGATTAATTTTATCATAGTTTTTTAGTTTATCCCTGTAGATCTTATATATATCTTATTAGGTTCATATCTAAGTATTTTTGGAGGCATGCTAGCGTAAATGGTATTGTGTTTTTAATGCCAAGTTCCACTTATATCTGCATGTAGAAAAACAATCAACTTTTAAATATTAACTTTGCATTCTTCAACTTTGCTATAAACATTTATTAGTTCCTTAAGTTTTGCTGACAATTCTTTTGGGTTTTCTACATTGATGATCATGCCATCTGTGAAAAAATACAGTTTTATTTCTTTCCTCCCAGTCAGAATATCTTTTTTTTTTTTTTCATTCTTGTCTTTATGCATTATCTAGGACTTCCAGTAATATATTGAAAGGGGAGGTAAGAGATGAAACATCTTTAATTTGCTCTTGATCTTAGTGGAAAAGATTCTAGTTTATGACTATGAAGCATGATGTTAGCTGCATACATTTTGTAAATATTCTTTATCAGGTTGAGTAAATTTCCCTCTATTCTTATTTTACAGGGAGCTGGTTTTTTTTTTTTTTTTTTTTTTTTCCGCTATGAAAGACTGTTGGATTTTATCAAATGTTTTTTCTGCATATTTTGATATGATTATTTAAATTTTTTAGCATATTGACATGATAAATTACATTAATTGATTTTAAATGATGAACTAGCTTTGCATACCTGAATAAATCCCACTTGTACATGGATAATAATTCTTATTATACATTGCTGTGACTTGATTTGCTAATATTTTGTGGAGAATTTTAAAACTTATGTTCATTAAGATATATTGGCCTTTTGTTTTCTTTTTTTTTAAACTTAGAAAGAAGATTTTATTTTATTTATTTATTGTTTTAATTGAGTTTTAGGTTTTGGGATACATGTGAAGAACATGCAAGATTGTTGCATAGGTACACACATGGCAGTGTGATTTGCTGCCTTCCTCCCCTTCACCTATATCTGGCATTTCTCCCCATGCTATCTCTCCCCAACTCCCCACCCTCCACTATCCCTCCCCCATTTCCCCTCAACAGACCCCAGTGTGTAGTGCTCCCCTCACTGTGTCCATGTGTTCTCATTGTTCAACGCCTGCCTGTGAGTGAGAACATGTGGTGTTTGATTTTCTGCTCTTGTGTCAGTTTGCTGAGGATGATGGTTTCCAGGTTCATCCATGTACCTACAAAGGACACGAGCTCATCATTTTTGATGGCTGCATAATATTCCATGGTGTACATGTGCCACATTTTCCCTGTCCAGTCTATCATCGATGGGCATTTGGGTTGGCTCCAGGTCTTTGCTATTGTAAATAGTGCTGCAATGAACATTTGTGTGCATGTGTCCTTATAGTAGAACTGGCCTGTTGTTTTCTTGCAACGCATCTTGTCTATTTTTGTTATTAAGGTAACATTGGCCTTACAGAATGAGTTACAAGTATTCCCTCTGCTTCAAACTTCTGAAAGACATTTTAGAAAAATTGGTACAATTTTTTTCCTTAAATGTTTGGTAGAATTCACCAGTGAACCCATCTGGGCCTGGTATTTTCTATTTTGGGAAGGTTATTAATTATTGGCTAAGTTTATTTAATAGATATGTTTACATATACATTGTCTATTTCTTCTCATTTGAGTTTTTTTTTTAAATGTGTCTTTCAAGGATTTATTTCATTTCATGTAGCCTTTTACACTTGCGGGCATAGAGTTGTTCATAATTTTCATTTATTATCCTTTTAATACACATGTGATCCTTAATGATATCCTCTCTTTCATATCTGATACATGTATTTTGTTCTTTGTCTAATTAGTATCTTATCAATTTTGTTGATCTTTTCAAAGAACTAGGTTTTGGTTTCACTGATTTTTGTCTATTTCATATTTTTAATTTTATTGATTTCTGCTCTATTTTTCATTTCTTTTTTTTTTTTTCTGCTCACTTTGGATTTAATTTGCTCTTCTTTTTCTAGTTTCCTGAAGTGGAAGCTTAGATGGTTGATTTTAGATCTTTCTAATTTTTGTAATATATACATT